CAAGTGAGAAGTCAGGTAATTTCTCCTTTAGAGTGAATGGTATCGTTTTTTATTGTAGTCAATGGAGCTCCCCCCTGCCGGCCTTTATACAATAAAGGCTTTAAGACATTTCACGTTGGCTTCACTTCACTTCACACTTTACAGACCCAGAAGCTCTTTCCATTATGTATACTATCAGTCGGTGTGGAGTCAGAGGGAAGTGAGCTTACCAGACGTCTGTAGCCCACTCCTCATCTCTGCTTAAGACTAACGGCTTGAGGCTACATTAGCTGCAAGCACTACACACCTGAATCTCCAAACCAAACTGACAGCAGTCAAGTTCCATTATGGGTAATGAAACGCCAGGTTTTTCACAAGGAAGAAGAATAAATAGACTAAAATTGAAAATATGGTTCTGCCGCATTAGTCTTAATATATGTTATATAATGTTATAGGAGTAACATCAACATTTTTTTCTTCACTATTTTTACTTGCTCCATTGTTGGTGGGATATCAATGTATATATATCATAGCTGTAAGAGGATAATACAAGCAGCACATGCACCAGTACTAATGAATCACATCTATGTGATTTAACGCTATGTAATAAATCTTTCACTTCCCAGTGATGCAAATACTCATTGATACACAGCTTCAGTGTAATGATGAGCTGAAGCTATAATTTTAGTCATTTTGCATGGTAAAAAACAGACAGTCTACCAGTGCATCAATAAACCATTCCAATAAATATAAAGTTAGTCGTTTCATCTACAGCAATGTCACCAAATGAATGCCTTTCAAATTACATAACCATTCTCACCCAAGTGTTAATTCAAAATACTGTTTAGGATCATCTCCATTTGGTAAGAGCATTATTTTTTTCTATTGGTTCATTAAAGCATGTCACAGTACATCCCAAAGCTGTGACAGTGGATAGTCACTGACCAGACTACACAGAGCAAAGAATTTGATCCTTTATAAGTTGCTACATACATTTATGTGGAGTTTAATATCAGCCAAGACACACAGGTACATGATACACATACACACAGCTAAGCCATCAGTGACAAGTGTATCTTCTTCTCAAATCTCTTTTCCTTTTCTTTCACCATCTGTATCTTCATCATTCCTACATATTTTGTCTACTTGTTACAAATACTGATAAATGTTACAGTTTATACTGTAAATAACTTTTACTATTGCCTACAAAATGTCAGAGAGTAGTGGAAACTAGCTTCGGCAACGACAATCGGACATGAGGAGTAGGGGATCAAATTCCCAACCCTGCAATTAGTGGATTACCCTTAGTGGACTACTTCCTGAGCCACAGCCACCCCTAAAACGATGTAAAGTTTCAGTGGTAAAAAATTCATTTAGTTGTCCAATTCTTTTTTCCTGATTCGAAAGAAAATACATCTTTATTATTGGATTCTCGCTTTACTTTTAAAGATGGAAATTTTTACACTGGCTCTGATCTAATCTAAAACTGTTCTGGAGAAAGAAACACCAGCAGACTGTAACCCGACTTATCCCCTTTGCTTTGTTCTTCCATCCTCCACTCCCGCCTTAATCTCACCAGCTTTGCACTCGGTAAATGTTCCCTGCTTCTCTGCATTTCATCTCATCTTGTTGAGATGAAAAGTGATGAGAGACTCTTCATTTCATCACCTTCCTGTCTTCTGGATGAAGCAGCAGCCATCTTATGTGCTCAGACGAAGGGGTGGTTGCCACAGGAAGTATCCACGGGCTCTTTCAACTGTTCACGATACATCATGTGTCCACATCAGCTGATCATCAACAGAGCTAGATGTTAACTCAACATACTGTGTTATGTACACTGTGTAGTGTGCACACCTGCTGAATCATATGTGCAAACAAATAATTGTGGTAATACCGCTCTCTTACAAAATACAGACTGGTGGTTATGACTAAACCTCTGCACACATTAGCAGCTGGCACAAGTACAAAGGGAAGAATCATCTAATCAAATATGCAACCTTTCCACACACATACAGTACACACCACAGACTGTATGGTACACACATACACAAATAATGTATGTGTTCATGCATCCACCCCCAACACTTTGCTGGGAGACAGCAGTCCCATCCTGTTCACATGTTCACATGTTTACTGCTCAGTGACATGTAACAATCATAACACATAAAACATACAAAACATGACATGTCTGTGGCACGGTGTCCATGCACAGAGCAGCGTGATATGGGAAGCTCAGCCTCCATTTTGGGGATTGCATTGATGAGGGCTGACTGGGTGGCTGAGCAGCAGTGGTCATGACTCAGTCAGATATGGTACGCTCTAGCTCACACACTTCCCTCCAGCAGCTCTCGTCCAGCTTCAGCACGACAAAAAATTCTGCTCAAGTCAAATCGTTCAGCGTTGTAACACTCTGAGCCAGTAGCATAGTACATTAAAAATGCGCCTCACAAAACAGTCCTGGGCTAATCATTACCTCTAGTCATGACCATTGACTGCCTTGATTAAAGCTCTGCAGGCTATGGTTGGTATTTCACTCACAGTGGAGAGTCTGTGCTTTACAAACCAGATGAAGGACACATTCTAATTCCTGAATGTTTTTCCTCTTTTCATAAAATGTGTTAAAAAGAAGCTCATATTCCCAGATCTTATTTTTCACAAAATAAATACTGCATGCCATTTGCTCAAGCTAATAGAGGCCTGAGGCACCTGATGCAATTGTAAAGGGTGCTACAAGACAGATGTAATGATTGGCCTGAAATTACTCCATTATTAATGAGGCAATTTGCTCCTCAGTCAGCCTCTAAAGCCATCCCACCGTAAGTATACACTTACGTAAGGACGCCTCCCAGCCCAGAAATCAAGATAGAAAAGACCAATTATAGTAACAAGGCACATCTGCCTTTTATTAGCTGACATACTTCATTAATGAACCCTACCAGGAGGGATATAAATATAATTCGGTGCATAGTCAGAGCGAACACTGATGGACAAGGCTGAGGATAAAAAAAGAGTCCACTCTTTGTATCAAGCACAAAGGCATGAAAGCCCACACTGTACAGCTTTCATATTCTGCCGGACACATTCAGCTCATACAGTAAACGAAACCAAGCTAAAAATATACACAAGGATTCACGCTGAGTATTTAATCGCACTGAACATAAGGAATAAGTAAAATGATGAATGGCTTGGGCTCTGTCGGTGTCAGTGCAGGTTTAGTTTGAACAGGCACATTCTCCTCACAAACACTGTCCCTACACATTTTCATGAATCATAAAGATATAAAAGAATCAAGGTACCTCTGGCTCCCCTCGAGGGATCACCAGCAGGTAAAAACCATCCAATGTGAGGCAGAGAGCTCAAGATCCTTCACTTTAGCAGCAGGGCACTGCTTCAGGGATGAGCAGGCAAACTCTTTAAGTCAAATCAGGTAAGCCAAGAAACTGTTTTAAAATCTCCATCATATACACAAATGCAAGCAGACATGCAGAAAGACAGACAGACAGGTCTCATTTAAGGGTCACGCTAATGGTATTCTGTTATGACCTTGAAGGGTGGAGTGACAGTGTCTGCCGCTTTGAGTAATGAGTGGCCTACTAGCTGTCCAATGTCCGACGGCATCACTCAACCAGACAGACAGAAACGCTGACAGACTGGCACAAAGACCCCAACCAGCTGGTAAAATTCAACCTTTGCGCTGCTTGAGGCATCCTGCAATTAGCTGCATCATGCCATAGCCTGCCTCAAAAAGAAAAAAAGAAGCTGTAGAGCTCAAGCCAGTCAAGCAATACGCTGACCTATTCCACAATCTACCTCTGTGTGTTGTGCACTTTTCATTGCAGCTGAAATATCAAACTAAACTCAACTAAAGCGCTTTATATCCAAACCTTCTGGCTGTACTATAAGTCAGTGAGCTATTTTCTGTTATATATACTGTATATCCCAAAGACGATGACATTTTCTCAATTTGTAGAGGATAATGTAATCCTGCAACTGAGATTAAACATGGAAATTGTTTACATAAGGGTGACGCAAAGAGCATTTTTCCATATTGACTGTGCAGTAACTGATGTTTGGCTGTTTTTATATCTACAGTATTTCCATTGTAAGAACCTTATTTCACATGACTGTTAGAAAGAGGTACATTGGGCAATTTGTTGAATTAAAAATTGCAAATTTATGTTTTTGTACATTTTGTGAGAATATACAGACTGTATATTTCTATTTGAAGATAGAGGAGGTCGTAAGACGAGACAGTGCGAGATGATCAAAGTCAGAGTAAGTAAAGGAAAGACAGTGAAAAGAGGAAGAGAGAGAAAGAGACAGAGAGGGTTTAAGCATCCTTGACATTTGTCTCTGGGCCTTGTGCCTACTCTTGTCAGTTACTGATTTAACTGGGCCATGACTACACCCTCACATTGAGGCAAGTAAAAAACCTTTTGACATCTCACACTCTAGGGCCAATCTGATAATAACCTTTGAAAATAAACTTAAATAAATGTATGTTGTAGCCAGACTGCATACATTAGTTACAATTGGCAGTATCACTTAAACAATTAAATCATTTGAACAATTCGGAGCAGGTTTTCATTGTTAAAATTGTGGATTGTAAATTGGTTTAATAGCCAATATACTGAGCCTTGTGCGGTACAAGGCTCAGTATATTGGCTCAGATTTCAAAAACTAGATTATAGACAACTAGATTAAAGGGTTTTATATTTCCTGTGGCTCAAGTGGTCTCTCTGACATTGATTCTGTACTGGAGTACTATGCGAGGAGAATGTGTGTTAAATATTTATGCACACAAAGAACTCTTTCCAGAAAGGTTTCCACATGTATTGAAAAACATGACTGACTGCAATAATTCTCTAAATTCTGACTGAGGACAGCAGTCTATTGCAGAGAAGAAAATGGCGAAAGCAGAGACACACAGATCAAAAAAGACAACAGAAAGACAAGAGAGTTGCAACTGAAATTCACTGCAGTAATGAGTGGATTAGGGCAGCTGAGAGGGCTGGTCTCACCTGGTTCTCCTCATGAGTGACTCTCATCTGCTCTTTAAGGATTGATGTGCGAGCTGCCTCCTCTTTCCTCATTATTCTCTCCTTCTTCAGCTCAGGACTCCAGAAGCTCTTGATGCTGTTGGTGGAAGATCCCAACTTACTGTCCTTCAGGTCAAGCTCTCTGCGCAGCAGCTCATTCTCCCTCTGCATATCCCTGAGCTGGGCCTGCATCTCCAGCAGCTCCCCCCCACTGCCCCGCACTGCCTGCCTCAGCAGGGCAGACGGCACCCCCTGGTGGTGGTGGTGGTGGTGCAGCATGGAGAGGGAACCCAGGTCACTATAAGACAGAAGGTCAGCGTGATGAGGCAGCCCCACTGAAGCAATGTTGGGACTGCTGCCCATGGCTGTGACGCGGCCCCCGTACATGGCCCGGCTGGTGGCACGGCCCAGAGTCATAGTGCCTTTTGGGTAGGTGGCAGTGGAGCCCACGCCCTCATGGTCACTCAGGTACATGGGCCCCGAAGTAGCATAGGCAGCGTTGAGGGACTGGATGTTCTCCATGGAGAGCGTCTTGCCCCCCGCACCACCCCCGCCCCCGCTGTTGGCCCTCCGATGGCCCAGTCTGGGGGACCTTGGCAGGCGCGGGGACCGTGCGGGGCTGCTCTCTATATGGCCTACAGCTCTGGCACTGCCGTACATGTCCTGTGAATCGGCGGTGTAGCCACCAGAGGGTCCTTAACAGGAGCACGCTAAAATGAGACTGCTCTGACTCTCTGAACCACACATGGGTGACTTATTTCATGCCTTGATAGGTGGAGCACATCAAAGTCAGATCTGAGGAAACAGGAGAAAGCACCTGTTAGATGAATAACTGTCAGATTAAAGGCACAGAAAGTAGTGCACTCCTTTTAAAAATACACAGTACATTCCCCTCAGAGCAGGTTAAAACAAACAGATTTGGCCTGCAAGATTCTACAGATGAAGAAACAAATAGTTCTTTTAGCTTTAAGACCGTATTAGTCAACATCAGCAGCAAACTCAAATTTCATCTGACTCCTATTTCAAACAACCCACAAAAATTCCCAGCATCATCCTGGATTTGGCCAACATTTATCTAAATCCCATTATTGCTGCTAATACAGTCAGAACAGACAGGACAGCTTTACAACCACACAGTATGTCAGCAAAATAGTAGACTAACTAAAGGGCCAGTGTGTATGATTTGTTTGCATCTAGTGGTGAAGTTTCATATTGCAACTAACTGAACACCGCTGGCGTCTGTATTTGATGACCTAGGAATGAGAACAGGGTGTGAATTTTGTATGAAAAACCACAGTGCCCACGAAACTCAAAAAACACAAAATGCCCTATCTATAGTCAGGCCATTGCTGGATACTGCAAAAACATGGCGGTTTAACATGGTGGACTACAATGCAAGGCAAGCCTTCTAAGCTAACAAAACATAACAATTCCTATATTCAGGTGATTATACACCAATGAAAACACACCTATGAATATTATATTCTATCTCTGCCGAGTGATCCTCCTAAATGTTACACACTGGACCTTTAAAACACAGGATACAATATCAAGTTTCAAGCATCATTTAATTGTCATTCTATAACTAAGTTTTACACAAAAATGTAAGTTCCTACTCTTATGCTACACAATAAAATATAATTTGTATGTTCTGATCAATGATTGCCAGTTGTTTGGTATCAGTAATTAATAATACCCATGATGTAATAACAAAATGCATGACATATTAACCAAATTGTTCAGAATCAGAATTAGCAGTTTACATGAGCGTGAGATGAACTCTTTGGCCCCCTATTTGATCAATTCTGATGTTTTCTGTGGAGAACACAGTGATGTTTGGAAACAAGGTTTATTATTGTTAAACCTTGTCTTAGAAACTGAACCAAAGACAAAGATTATAACATTTATAGTGCAGTTACACCAGATTGCATACTGTACACGACCATTGCACCAAGCAATACAATCAATACAATGTCCTCAACTAAATACAACATAAATCAATTCTAAAAGACAGCTCACAACATAAAGTAATCCTCTGCTGCATTGTATTGTTTCATAAACACATAAAACGCACAAATTAAAACAGACAAGAGATGCAGTTATTTTATGACCAGTGATGTTATGTCATTTACAATATATTAAATGTGGCTTTTCATAAATGAAAAGATTTTAATATACTGCAGATCCTGCTGGCTAACAAGGAGAAAAGGATTTGGAAGCCTTAATATTTAATGTTTTAATAATGGTTCTGCCATTTCATGCCATATCTATATATATATGTGTCACTTGAATTTCCCTCGGGATAAATAAAGTATCTATCTATCTATATATCACAGTCTATAATATATTTAAGCTTGAGTTGCACACAGTTGCAGTGTCATTATTACATGATGCTGGATAATTTTTAGGTTGAATAAAGAAAGCTGCTAAACAATAAATGTTGAAGACAGACACAGACATTGTTAATGTCACAGGCTGTCTTGTGATGAATAATATTGGATCGAAAATTTGACTCTTCCATCTAAGTGAACAACGGTACTTTCTCTCCTCTGGTGACACTTGCTGCTCAGACTCAGTTGCCATGGTGACTATGCCGGGGCTAACAGAGATAAAGCACCTCATAAGGGTATAAGTTTCCCACACTGTGGTCAAATGTAGAAGGTGAGTGTTGCAGCAGTGCCAAGGTGACATGGCAGCCTGTAGGCTTTATGTGTGTATGGGTCTAACGATCCCAACCTTTCAACTTACATGCATATTCTCTTCTTTTTTTTTAGGGTCAGATAAAATGACAATTCATGGCACAGAAAACCATGTGTCAACAGGTCTCCCCTAAGATTTTGGACGACAGGAACCCTCAGCTGCAGTCACTGAAGCATCATCTGTGTGGAAACACTCACTGAATCCTAGCAGAGGAGGTCAGACAGTACACTATTATCTCTGTTAGTTGTATAAAGTAAAAGATGTGTAGGAATAGGATGCGACGCACACATATAAAACCATGTTTAAAGGCTCGAACAGAGCATGTGTTGAGATTTTGAATTCATAGCCTATAAACAGTGTAAACTAATAGCTCCCTTCTTTCTTTAGTACCTCAGACAGACACTGGCAAATTAAATTCAAATTCTAAATATGCAGGAATATGCAACAACAAACACTGCAGCTCTTATCTACAGTGGTCAGCTTGCTACAGCATGTCTGTGAAGTCTGGTTGGTAAATGTTTTAGGAGCAAAAACAGCATTCAGCAATGGGCAGTACAGGCAACGACTACAAAAAAACATCTTATGATAAATTAGAATTGACCTGCTGTATATACAGTCCGGTGAGCCTCATAATGTTGATGTGAGGATGATTCAACGCAGTGGTCAGTTTTTGAAGCTGTATTGTGGTTTGTGTCCTATGAAGCATCATTCAGTCAGTGTATGTTAGGATCTTTTTGTAATGACTGTTCCTTTTTAATTAAGTTTTTCCGTGTTTGGAATATGTGGTCATCATTTGTTCTTTGGCTTTCTCAATGTCACTGTTAAAACAGTGATTTGGGCAGTGACTGTGGCTTGTTTGTACCTCTTTAAGTGACCTTATTGTGCCTTGACTTTTTAAAATTTTAAACGTATGTGTTAAATTGTATGTTTTCTTTATAATGAGCGGAATGACAAATCAAACATCTTCACTTAAATGCTCATTTCATGAATTTGTATTGTAGAGTACAGTGTTGTTTTTTTAGTCCACCCAGTGATGTACTATAATCACATGGGTATGCCACAGTCAAAGATGTTATTGATTGATTGCCTAGAGCTCAATCATTGGGGTGGGACTATTGAAATGGGTGTGATCACTGAAGTTAAAGTATATAAAATATACAGTATAGGGCTGCTGATTATTTTTGATCAAATAATCATATAGTCAATAAAAAAGACAATAACTGGTAAAAATTGTGTGTTGGACTGCTCTCTCTAGCTGTCTGGCACAAGGAGCAGCATTAATAGTTCAGGACCCTGCACTCCCTTTGTCTCTCTGTCGCCCAGATGGCTTTATATTTCATATTAGTGGCAGCTGCTCTTTTTATGATGTTTATTTAAGATATATATTTATTGTTATTATTTTACCACTTTCATCTTAACCGGTTATCATTATTGGCCTATTTATCTATTATTTTTATCTCATCTATTCTAACCCATGGCAGAGGAAGTCTGTTAAGAGTATGTCTGTGTGTATGAACAGTCTTCATCATGTCCCTTCGTTTTATTTCCACTTTCATTACACCTTGTGCCTCACTATGAAGCCAGAGATTAATTTCCATATGAGTGGGCAATAAATATTTCTATTTTAAAGATATTATATATACAATGACATAGAACAGAAGGGAAAAAAGCTCTCATTTTAGAAGCTGAAATTAGGGAGTATTTGGAGTTTTTGTTGTATTGATAAATGACTTAAAGGTCCAGTGTAGTTGCACATCACACACACCCTCCCCTTCCATGTGCAAAAGAGAAACTATGGTGGCGAAAAACACCCCTATAGGTGCTAGTGTTTGGTTTGCCCCTTCTGGGCCACTCTATAAACATGGCGGACCCCATGGAAGGCGACCCAGAGCATCTCTACATATAAAAGGCTTATTCTAAGTTAACAAAAACACAACGATTTATACTTTCAGGGGATTATACCCAAATGACAACATAGTTATGAATATTTTATTCCATTTCAAACAATCAATCCTCAAAAATGTTACACACTGGACTTTTAAAACACCCTGACCTTTGTCAATGGATTTTCTGCTCGACTAATCAGTTTACTGACTAATTGTATCAGCACTAGGACAGTGGACATCTAAGTAAAATATTGAATAAGTTGTCTACAAAGCCCTGACAGACACAATGATGTTCCGCACCAGTTTATCTCCAATTAAAAATATTCCTCCAATCCTTTTACATTGTTCTTGATCCTGTTCTAAAGCAAAACGTCGTATCTACATTAACACATTTCTCTCAGTATGCAGAGGAGAGGGAAATGACCAGCGTGCAAAAAGAGAGTATCGTATTTTTGCAGAAACAGTGGTAATATTGGAGTACCAGAGGGATGCCAGCTGAGAAGGCCAATTGTAATCCTCCACCCCACCCCTGCTCTACACTTAACTTTACAAAGGATTCTTTAAAAGAAAAACAGAGATAACATGAATACAATATTGTGTTAGGCAGTTGCAGCTGTTTTGCACCTCATGGCCATGCTGTCACTCCCATTCATTTCTCACCAGACGTCATACTCAGGCTGCTCAGGTATTAGTGAGAGCAATTACAGTTACCAGGAGCCGGAAAAAAACTGTCAGCAAATGCCAGTATAGGCCTCTGAAGAAATGATCACTGGCAATTCAGAGAGCAGTGGTGCGTTAACAGCGGAGAGGATACAGATGTTCTGACACAAAGATTTCACCACAGGCGATGCTGAGTGTATCTGTGAGGCAGGGGAGACTGTTTTCTATAAGGCTACCATGACATTTTGAAAGCCAGCATGCAGGCAAACCGTATTAAATGAGAAAAACCAGAGATCTCTGACTTTGAGATTTGAGGTCAGGGCGCATGTCTAGGGCGGACATAAGGCATTTTTGCTATAAATAGCCTTTATAATGGGTTGATGGTGGAGAGATTCCATGTGAAAAGAAGTACCAACCAGTTCAGTGCGGCGCAGTGCTACTTGAGCAAGTGCAACACATGCAGCCTCCTCATCACGTATTCTACTACAGAGACTAAACGCCCCCATGCTTCCCACTGACTCAGTTGACTGGATGAGAAAATGTAAATGTGCTTTTCCAGATGGCCTGTTCAACCGTACATCCAATCCCAACCTTTAACAGAGCTTAGGAATGGCTTGTGAATGTAAAGAATAAAAAACATGTAACATCTCAACAGATACACTTCAGACCTTTGTGTTCAATTCAGATATTTATCTTAATGTCTGCTGGCCGGTGTGTAGGCTGAATCACATTTGATGCAGCATAGGAAGCACGACCGAGCCATTGACAGCTCATCGGGCCTACATCTCGGATGGCTCCAGCGTGCTGTGCGTCGAGCACCTGACCACACCAATGAAATATTAGTCTAACCCGCCGTATGGAAGCCGACTGAAACCTTTATTTTGAAATACGGCGCTGCTCTATCGTTTCAACACGGCTTTTTAAAATGCAAATTCTCCGGTAACAAGCGAGCACTGACTGGCTGTGTCTATGCAATCAACGATCACGGAACGAGGCTTTTTTTTTTTTTTTAAACGCACATAGCCTGTGCTTTTACCGCCTGGTCTCACGCAAAACATGCACACACACACACACACACAAAAGGGGACACTCCACGGATTTTGAGTGCCATTACTTCTATAATAAAACCCGGTTTTGACTGGGAGTGAAATGAGAAGGAGCAAATGTACCTTCATCGATGTTAATTCCTCTCCTTCGCCGCTCTAGACGGCATCTTGTCGCCTCCATTCACCCTCAGCAGCCTCTCTCAGCATCCTGCGCTGTCATTGGGCAGCGGACACGCTCTCTCTCCTCCTCTACACACCAGGGAGCAGCATCACCACTACTGCAAGTGGCAGCTGGCAGGAGGGGATGGGCGGATGAGATGCGGTGAGCGGCCTGCGCTGAATTTCACATCATATGTTGGTTGCTGAAAGGGAGGGGTGGGGGGGGATCACGGACCGGGTCCACTCGCTTTATAAGTTGAAGGTGTTTGAGTTGGGTTTTTTTTATCTCCTCATTCACAGGTGCCCGGAAGCACTGTGATGTAGTTACATTTCAGGGTAGGTGGGTCTAACTCAAAATGATATGTGTGACTTGGATCAGCAGTCTAACCTGTGGGTAGAGCCAGCAGCACAATTTTCCTGCACGGTGCTCGTTTTTGCCCTGAAATTAGACTGTCAGGAAGCACTTTCTCCCACACTCTCTATACCCTTATCAAGCTATTCTGATTTGATGCTATAGGTTAAATATGGTTGGGGTAATATCAAGGGATGTATTCTGCTAATCCTAGCGAAACATGAGGGATTTGCACGCCTGACAGGCTCAACTTTGGGCAACACTTTTTGTCTTCGTGTAATTTTTTGCTCTTCACTACTCTTGCACATCTGATCCAGTTAATTCTTATTGGCTAAGCAGAAGAACCAGAATTACCCCAACACTGCTGGAGTGGATCAAGTGTGCAGGAGTAGGTGAATTAAACGCTTGTAGTTAGATGGGGAAGATTGATACCATCTGTTAAATATGAAGAAATGGCCATACACTTTGCATAGCTTAGCATAAACACTAGATACAGGGGGAAACATCTGTCCTGACTCTGTCCAGAGGGTAACACAAACCACATACCAGCACCGCTTATCATTAACATGCTGTCTCATTTGTTTAATCCATTAAAAAAAGAAATCAGTGTAAAAATGACACATTGTGGTTTTACAGGTGTTGGACTATTTCTTGCGCAGTAACTTCCAGGAGTCTGGACTGGTTGCCTGGCAACATCAGTGTGACGACATGACATAGCAGTAGCTTCATATTTAATGTACAAAGTGGTATTAATCTTCTTATCTGACGCCCTGCGAGACAGTGTGTCTCCCAAAATGTATTCCATCAAGTTTGAATTGTTTGAAAACTGGGACTGTTAGCAGTTTTTAATAAAAATAATTGGAAGAATGATACAACCAGTAAAGCAGTGACACATTGTTACTCCTCTCCAGTATTCAGTCAGATTTGCCTGAGGGCAACCACAGATCCAGCGAGCAGCTCTGACAAAGGAACTTCTGTCGCAGCATGAATCAATCTAAACTCATGACATCATAAGCTGGGACTTCACCATGAGGTGAGTACGTCCTTCAGAAGTGTTCAAACAGACAGCCCTGCAGGCTTTTCCAAAACAGAACAATGTCCTCCTGGCTCTTGTCTTCATCCTGCTCTCGCCTGCCTTCAGGCCTCCTGGAATTACGGGGATTTTCTCCCATTTTGCATTGTAAACACTGACGCTAAGTGTGCTTGACAGGGCCCAAAGGAGAAGCATCAGCATTTCTGTGTTCTAAACACAAACACGAAAACACACACACAGTCTCTCTGTCTCCCTTTCTTTCTCTCTCATGCGCACATACAACGTTATATGAACAGGAAAGGGGAGAAATGGGTACAGTAAGAAGCCCTTTGTGCTCCTGTTGATTGTATCCCTCTTTCCTCTGTGTTCCACTTGTGTTTCCTGTGTGAGGTGCCAGTAACGGGGCAGAATATGAGTGGTGGTTGGCTAGATTTGCGTGTCCCTTACAGGGCAATAGAGACCATGTAGAGGCTTGGCTCCTTTTTCTTCTCACAATTTGCCCTGCAATATGTTCCTGTGTTCCCCCGCAGCCATGAGGTCAATACTGAAGTGCTGCCAGAAATGTCCCTTTTCTGTCTCTTATGAATTGTGTACATTTTTGCAGTCATCAGCATCTGAATAAAATTGCACTTCACTGGGAATGCCTATGCGCCAATCCTAAACAATAAATTGTTCTTTAGGTTACTTACCGAAAATTAGCCACTTGCCCTCTCAGAAATCATCAGAAATTACATTTTATTGCATAACAAAAAATGATGTACACAAATAAAGAGAAAAATATCCCAAAAGATTTACATAACACAAATTTTTTGTTGTTTTTATGGAGCCCCAAATTGTTCCCAAAGATTTGACAGCGCACAAATCCAGTCCTACTCAGTCTGCTAGTCAGCATTTAAGAGCGCACAGGCACTTTGTAAGAGCCAGCAGGGATTCTCACGCTTGAAATCATCAAAGCTTCTCACACTCAGTTTTGGCCGTCTGAATCCCCTGAGTGCAAACTGAGAGCATTGCATCACCTGTTCAGTTTGACCTTGAAGTAAAGGGTCATCATGTAAGACCGTTCCTTCTGCTAGCACAATAAAATCTGGGGACCTTGGCATTTTATAACCATCAGATGGAGACAAAGAGCAGTGTTTGGTCTCTGTTTATTAAAAATCTAAATGTGTTAAAACAAAATGACTAAAATCACATACATTTTGTTGACAAATTATATATTTTGTTAGCCATTGAGTGAGTTATTTTGAGTTTCAAATTAATTTAAAAGTCATTAGTACCTTGTGGCTACTAACAGTGTGGCCATGCTAGCTTTGTGTTAACTTCTATTTTTAGTGTGATAGTCTTCTGAATCAGATATTGGGTTTTTTGTTTCATCTTTGTATGTTTTTTATGAATTATTTTAACAAATAAAATAATTAAAACCTTTTTAAGGACAACCTTTATGAATAAGGTTTGCTAATGAGGCATACAGGCAAATATTTAAATCACACGTTGCCCTAAATAATTATTTGGTTGCTGATCACTCCTCAGAGAGAAGCAGTATACAAAAGTTATTTTCCTTGTTCGGACTTTACCTTTAAAAAATAAATGATCCTGACATCCAGATTTGGGTGTGTGCTGTTGCAGTTTGCTGGTCTAAAGTGCAAAATCTTGCACTGCCGAAACAGCTCGAGAAAACTGAGAGAGCAGACTCATGAACGAGTGGGTGCACAATTGGGGATGCATACTCTATTCTGATTCAGATTTTATGAATCCATTCCTGTGTGTAGGAGCCATGAATTAATAACTACGGATGAATTTTAGAATACCAGGTGGGTTTATATTTCTTGGTATTTGTTATTAGTTGGTGTTTCTAGAATATATTTAGGTGATGTGTTTCTTTAATAAAATCATTAGATGCAAGGCTTTTACTTAATTTTTTCCTGAAGTCGCTACACTGTGTGCTCTCAAATGTTAAGCGCTTAGAATCAGTGTCAGTGAATCAGAATTATTTTCTAATAAAAGTAGCACTACTACTAGTAGTATAAGGTATGTTAACAGTGTGTTACCTTTGGTAGTAAATAACATTTACTCTGTAGAAGACTTCTTTAATGGCAGATGGAATGAACAGCATGTGGGAATATGTACCTTATGTAGCTGAAGTCACTGATATGATTTAACATTAAGTTAACATTTAGGAGGATCTATTGGCAGAAATGGAATACCGATATATAATAATGTAATATATAATAATAATAATAATAATAATAATAACAATATAATGTTTTTATTAGTGTAAAATCTCCTGAATATAGCAATTGTGTTTTTGTTACCTTAGAATGAGACGTTTTTATCTGCAGACGCCATGGGTCACCTTCCATGGAGTCCGCCATGTTTCTACAGTAGCCCAGAAGGGAAAAAACAAACAGTGACTCGAGCACTCTTGTTCTCCTAAGCTTCTCCTTGATCCTGTGGTACCTGGTGCTTCTTGCCACTGCTGTTGAGAGAAGCTTTGGTCCCTGAAGGGAGACAGATCAAAAGTGTTAGAATATGAATGAGACAGTATGTCATTGTCATTATCAACAATTCCTGTCTTTAAAAAAAACCAGT